GTCAACGTTAAAAGGGTTATATATAAAAAACAAAAGCAAGGCGGATGAGGAATGACCAAAGATATTGACAGTTGAAAATGGGAAATAAAGAGAGTGGCACAGTGATAATGTTCTCTAAAACCTCTGGTCTTCCCCCTAACAAATTCTCTGTCTTCCCTTGACAGGATTATTATATTATTACCTAATTTTATTGGCGGAAGAAGAAGGTGGGCGAAGCAGAAGGAGAGCGATACAGAGCATCTGTCTTATAGCCTCAGACGGCTCTGCCTCAGAACTCAGAATCCAAGTAGTTAAGCTGAAAATGATGAAGAGATTCTAGACCTTTGTCCTGTTGAGGCCAGAAAGAGACCGATTGCTAAAGAGACAGTAGAAGTCCCCTTCTTGAGGTCCACAAATTACAGACTATTTGGTGTTTAACATACAGATTCCATATGAATAAACACCAAAAATACATACAGCGCTGTCCAAAGTCTCAGATCACTTTTGAATTTTTTTGCATGTTTCTAATTTAACATTTTTTAATGCTTTAGTATTTTTTTTAAAGCAGAACAAAAATTAGATACATAAAATGTTTTTTGCTAAATAGAAAAACATTGAAAACACACATCTTTATTAATTAATTATCTTAATTACTTTTAAATTTATTTTTAAGTGTTTTATTTATTTTTTAATTTTATTCATAATAATAGTAGTAGTAATAATAATAGTAATTATTATTATTATTACTATTATTAATTTGTAAGCTTGTTATTTATTGTATTTATGTGTTTTATTTTTATAATTATTTTATTTTCTGTAAGCGTTTTATTTCATTTTTGCAAGTATCGTTTTATTTTATTTTATTTTATTTTTTGTACTGGGTATGAAAAAATATGGGACCTGTGCATTTGATCTTGTAGTTTAAATGCAGAGTAGACACTATATTTTACCCAATGCAAATGAAAACTAGGCTGAGATATAACACATAGTGTGTACAATGGGTTGCGCTGTTTTGTACCTCTTATTGATTGTTAAATCGATAAAACATTGAAAATACGTCTTTCTGAAAAATTCTCAGGAAAAAAATGGTGTAGAATGTGTTAAACGCACAGCTTTTCTCTCACACAGTCTCATTTTCATTCACATCAAATTAAATATGCTGTCTTCTCTGAGTAATGTCCATTGAAGACAGTGTTCAATAGAGATGAAGTGGCTTTTATTGAATTAAAATAGAATTAAAAGAAAACAAAGTGGTATTCTCATTATCTAGGAAGTGAGATAAATGAAGTGGTGGAAGTGGCTTGGACAGTGGACCTATAGCAGCGTTAATAAAGGGTCATATTCACCTGGTGAGACTCATCACACCCCTCAGCAGTGTTGCTCCACGTTGCTCTCCTTGACCACATGTGCTGTGTCAAAGTCTCTCACTTGTTATCTCATTCACTATTCCCTGTATAGTCCATGCCACATGGTGCACCATATGGGGAAGAAATGAGTGCAGATGAGTGAGCGAATTTGGATGCTAATGTAAATAGGTACTAGTCATTTCCGTCAAGACATTTACACTAAGTTTCAGACATTTCATACGTTATCTTACATGGAACTTTAGTAACTTTTTAGTAACCTTGTAAGCAAGAATCAACAAATAAGTGTACTTGATGATTTTTAATGTATTTTATTTTTTATAATTTTTCTTTTAATTTTATTTATTTTATATGTGCCGTTATTTGTAAACATGAATCAACACGTATGAATAAGTGTACTTCATTAAGCTTATTTTATTTTATTTTATTTTATTTATTTATTTTTTTTCATAAGTTTTTGTTTTTGTAATTGTTTTATTTTGGTAAGTATTTTATTTTTGTAACTGTGTGTGTGTTTTACGTGTAACATGTACCTTACATTGTAAACAAGAATCAGCACATGAATATTTGTTTTGTTTTGTTTTGTTTTGTTTTGCTTTGCTTTGCTTTGCTTTGCTTTGCTTTGTCTTTAAACTGACCCATCCATCTCAGGTAAAATATGTCCATAATGAAATCTAATTAAGGAACAGCATAGTGTTCTCATCCTTCCTCAAAGCAGCAGTATCTATAGCATTCTAGGGTGAAGCAGTGCTACGTTCATGCGTAAAAACAGCATTCATCTCCCAGTTACGTTAAGTCATCAAGCCATTAAAACGCTGCTGATATCTGCTACTCATGTCAAAACATTGAAAATTCCTGTTTTATCCCTGTCAAAAAAAATTAGAATGATGTGATATTTCAGCTTTTCGTGGTTGGTAATCCTGCTTAATTCATGACTTCTGATGGGGACACCTGCCTTTCCGCCCCAAAGGTTATGACACATAACGGGTCACGCTGTGTTTGTGAGGAGATTATGGTGCTTTATGAGGACTGGCAGCATGGCACAGGGGTGAAGACGGGAGATTATGGGTGAGGGCTTTAGTGGTTTGTGGCGTCTGTCTGCACACGTTCACACTTTCTTCTTAAAGGCGTCATATTATAAATTTTTTATCATTTATTTATTTTATATATTGCACATTTCTTATGCAAAAGCAGGTATTTCTTAAAGCCACAGCGACAAATTCTTTCAAACAGAGAGGTGGTGGCAAATGCCCATGAAAAACTAAAATATGACTATGTAAGCACTTTCTTTAAATATGAAATAAGTAACATTGTTTGGCTGGACCGTTTGCAGTCAGGTGCAGTTGTTTATCTGCTATAGTGATGGAAAGACTTAATTCCAAAAATCATTTTTTCAAGCCGTTGTTAATGAACTTATGCATCTAATTTAATTTTATTTATGTTAGTATTTTGTTTTAATTTTCATAAGTGTTTTTTTGTATCGTATTACCTTATTTTGTAAACAAGAATCAACACATATGAACAAGTGTACATCCATTTGTGTACATTAATTTTAATTTTGTATTTAATTAAATTTTTGTAAGTGTTTTGTATTTGTTTTATTTTTGTAATTATTTGTAAGTGTTTTATTTTATTTTGTATTTTATTTTGGTAAATGTTATATTTTTGTAAGTGATGCAAAAAATAGGTTCATTAAAAAAAGATCAGACTCAAAAGAACAATCTGTTCACTAACCTGACAATACTTACAAAACCTGAACATTATTGTCAAAGATTAATAAACTAATCTGCATTGAAATGTGTCATATGAATGGTAAATCCAGACTGAAATGATCAGGGACATTGTTAAGAATAAATCACAAATCTTAAAATTAAACTTACAAATGAAAATGAACTTCTTTTTTAATGTTGAGATCATTCGGAAGGATCATATGAACAAGTGTACATCCATTTGTGTACATTAATTTTAATTTTGTATTTAATTAAATTTTTGTAAGTGTTTTGTATTTGTTTTATTTTTGTAATTATTTGTAAGTGTTTTATTTTATTTTGTATTTTATTTTGGTAAATGTTATATTTTTGTAAGTGATGCAAAAAATAGGTTCATTAAAAAAAGATCAGACTCAAAAGAACAATCTGTTCACTAACCTGACAATACTTACAAAACCTGAACATTATTGTCAAAGATTAATAAACTAATCTGCATTGAAATGTGTCATATGAATGGTAAATCCAGACTGAAATGATCAGGGACATTGTTAAGAATAAATCACAAATCTTAAATTTAAACTTCTTTTAAACATGAAAATGAACTTCTTTTTTAATGTTGAGATCATTCGGAAGGATATGTTTTGTGAATGTGGGTTTTTGACATAATCAATGATTTTATAATGAGTTGGTTTTTACATTTAAAGCATGTTTTAATACACTTTTTTTCTTTTACTTTTTTTTTAACCAAAGATCAAAGAAATTGTGATATCTCATATGACCCCTTTAATAGCATTTGTTCTCCTCCCTCGAGTTGTGTGGTTGGACTCTTCTCTCTCTCTCTCTCTCTCTCTCTCTCTTTCTGTTTCCCTTCATTTTCTCATCCACCCTCAGTCTATATCAGCAAACAATCCTCTGTCTTCTTCTGCAGAGCAACTTTCCCCAACTCTCTGTGAACTCACCCAGAGTTGCTTCTTTGGAGTTTGGCAGAAAGAGGGAAAGTGAGGCTTTTAAAAGTTCTGTGTGGAGGGTTTTCATTAGGTTTCACTTTTCACAGTTGCTTTCGACACTGTGTCAGCTTGTTTGTGAAGTCTTTTCTGAGTTAGCAAAGCTTATAAGAGACTTACGCCGTGTTGTTTTGTGCAGCTGGCTCTCACACCGGGTGTGCGCGTGTGTATGTGCAGAGTAAGATGTCACTCTAGTCCTAAAAAATGAAAAACAATTGGGCACTAATAGAAGGTATTTTCGTACAGTGAATGTACCCGTAGGAAAGCAGGATCACGAATGACATGTCTTTATTTTTCTTTCCTAGCCAGAGAGTAAATGGAACTTTTGCTTCTATTTTAATTCCATAATTTGACATATTTCATAAGTTTTGTTTTATGCTTCTTAGATTTTTTGTCCTGTAATTTTTCTTTTGTGTCTCTTAAGGTTTCACAAGAGATCTTAACATTGTTTTTTAAGAACTTTTTGATCAAATGAACAGAGCTATACCATTCATATTCATTGTATGGCTCTATACCAGCGGTGGCAAACTCCGGTCCTGGAGAGCCCTGCAGAGTTCAGCTCCAACCCTAATTAAAACTCACCTGCCTGTAGCTTTCTAGTAACCCTTCAGACCTTGATTAGCTTGTTCAGGTGTGTTTGATTAGGGTTGAAGCAAAACTGTGCAGGGCTGCGGCTCTCCAGGACCGACGTTCGCCACCCCTGCTCTATACTCTTACAATATGTCAACAAATGTCAAATTTTTTAGACTCAATCATGTTTTTGTTTTTTTTCAGAAGTTTTATGCTTTAAATGGGCTAAGAACCCGTTAAGTCTCATTATCTTATGAAAGAGCAACCTCCGAGCAGTAACGTATCCCGTACCTACTTCTGTTTCCATAAACTTTGATAGGTTTTCTAAATTTCCGTTTGCCTTTCTCTCTCTCTCTCTCTCTCTCTCTCTGCAGGTAAAGTGCTGAATGCTGATTTGAGGCATTATCTTAGTCTGCAGTTCCAAAAAGGATCAATCGACCACAAACTGCAGCAAGTGATTCGAGATAACCTGTACCTGCGCACCATTCCATGTAAGACACACACACACAGACACACACAGACACCGACACAGAGACACACAGACACACACAGAGCCAGTCAGTTCATTTCTATTTTATATTCATATTTATTTGTTAAATGAAATGTATTTATTAAAATGTACTTACATGTTTTATTTGCAATATTGTTTTAAACAAGCTTTTTCATACATATGAAAAAACTGATACTGAAGAAGTGCCAGTAATGGTAATAAAATGTGTAAAATGAACAAATATGTATATTTTTTAAAAATACAATAAATTTCTTTGGTCATTTCACACACTGGTGTGTCTATTAATTTAGTTAGGAAGAAAGAGCCTGTCAAATACATTATAGAAAATATAATTAAATACATATGCATATCAAATATATTAAATAAATAGATTTCTTTTTATTGTATTTTATTTTACTTTTGACTTTATTTTCTCATTTTACTTAATTTTTTAATTTTTTACTATTTAATTTAATTTTATTATTTTATTTTAGATTTAGATAGGGATAGTTCACCCAAAAATGAAAATTCTGTCATTAATTACTCACCCTCATGTCGTTCTAAACCCGTAAGACCTCCGTTCATCTTCGGAACACAAATTAAGATATTTTTGATGAATTCTGAGAGCTCTCTGACCCTCCCATAGACAGCAATGTAATTACCACGATCAAGGTCCAGAAACGTGTCAGCTGCGGCACCAGGGTGACGCGGAGGAGACAAATTGTTGAATAGTGACGTTATTTTTGTTTTCTTTGCGTACAAAAAGTATTCTCGTAGCTTCGTAAAATTACGGTTGAACCCCTGATGTCACATGGGATTACTTTACCGATCTCCTTGTTACGTTTCTGGACCTTGATCGTGGTAATACCCTTGCTGTCTATGGGAGGGTCAGAGAGCTCTCAGAATTCATCAAAAATATCTTCATTTGTGTTCCGAAGATGAACGGAGGTCTTATGGGTTTAGAACGACATGAGGGTGAGTAATTAATGACAGAATTTTCATTTTTTTTCCATTTGGTGTTTAGAATGAATCCTTTGGCCATTTCTCACACTGGTGTGTCTGTTAGTGTAGTTCAGAGACTAAAATACAATTTTCATTGACTAAAACTAGACTAAATGTCATCAGTTTTCGTCGACTAAAACTAGACTAAAATGCTCAGACTTTTCGTCGACTAAAACTTGACTAGACTAAAAAGAGTATGAACGTGACTAAAACTAATAAAAACTAAAATGACAGTTTCACACAAAGACTAGACTAAAACTAAAATTAAAACAGGCCGCCAAAAACAACACTAGTTCAGGCGAAATCTCTCGTGTTAGTCTGGCTCTCTGCAGCACACCGCCAGCTCTCCTCTGTGATGCGCCGCATGAGATGCTGTTTCTCTTGAGAGTTGTGGAGTGGCTTTCTGAGAGCATGTTTCTTCTCCAAGCAGTAGCACACTGCTCATTAGTTTCTCATTCAGCGAGTTCGTTATTCCCTATTTAGTCTAATTTGATAAGTGACTGTGACAAATGTGTCATGAAACAGGGGCAAATTTACTACGACACTTTAGTACGTGGCATTTCACCGCAAAAAAAAATCGACGTCTTTCTTGCATGCTACCTGCAGCATAATCTGTTTACCTGTTTCATAAAATCATTTCAGTCTGTTTTTTAGGAAAAACATACCTTCCTAAGCAATTGTAACTTGTTATAGAATGCACCAAACCTTAAAAATTTATTTGTTATTGATATACAAATTCATTTTAATGCAAGTTGTGACAAAACCAAAATGAACCTGAAACAAGCCTGAATACATTTTGATAAATCTGGTAAAAAAAAAGAAAAGAAACATTTGATAATTGATTATGATATACACTACCTAAAGTACAACAAAAACACTGTGAAATATTATTATAATGTAACTTTTCTTTATTTGAATATATTTTAAAAAGTAATTTATTCGTGTGATGGAGTTTTTAGCATCATTACACCAGTCTTCAGTGTCACGTGATTCTTCAGAAGTCATTCTAATATCATATTATTCACAAAAATATGAAGCAGCACAACTGTTTTCAACATTGATAATAATAAGAAATGTTTCTTGAGCAGCAAATGCTGATTTGCTGATCAAGAAACATTTCTTCTTATTATCATTGTTGAAAACAGTTGTGCTGCTTCATGTTTTTGTGAAAACCGTGATACATTTTTTTCAGAATTCTTTAATGAATAGAAACTTCAAAAGAACAGTGTTTAATAAAAATATAAATCTTACATTATAAATATATTTACTGTCGCTTTTGATCAATTGAAAGTGTCTTTACTGAAGTCTTACTAGTTGTATTATGCTAGAAAATACAGTATATAATGAGATATAGCTTATGCTGTGGAATGTATAGTAACAGTTTTCCTAAATTAATATTCTGCAATGTTTTTTGCAAAACTATAGAAGTCCGCCATACCTCAAGCTGTTTCTTGCTCTTTGTAGCTACTGTCACTCTGAATATTCTTCTGAAGGATTTCAGCATTAGAAATGAGCAGCTAGAAGTTTATTTTTAACAATCCATGATCATCACACTCCTCAACAATTGTTGAACCTGTCAAAATCAAATACTATTGCAAAGAGGCTGTTATTGAAAGCAGCCTGGGGCGGTGCAAACCATATTTGACTTGACAGCAAACAAGCAACTCTCGAGTAAAAGCGCAGCAAAGCGCCGTTACTGGTGTCACGTGTGCAGAGGGCGTTTACGTAGACTTCTTAAAGGAACAGCAACAAAAAAAAACACCTGTCATTTGTAAAGGTGAAAGACAAGGTTATAAAGAAAGCTTGATTGATATTATAAAGTGGACTTGAGAGAAAGTGACCCATTTAAACAGCTTGAAATACAGCCAGCGGAAGCTGTTTAGCTGTGCATTTTATCGCTGGCAATAAATGTTAGTCATCAGCTTTTATTTCCCAGCTGTCGAACAGTCTAAAAATAAACTTTCTGATTAACACATTTTTGTTTTATTTCTGAAATTGTTGAAGTTTAAAAGAAGAATTAATTATGAATAATTCCCCCCAAAGAATGAAGAATTACTCTTTGATGTTTATGGAAAATTAGCAGGCTTGAGACAATCCGAATTAAAATAAATGACAACGAATTTCCACTGGATGCCAATTTAAGCATAGCATCCTCTGTTCTTGGCCTAGTTACTCCCCTCTCTTTTTTTCTCTTTACCTTAGTCAGTAAGTTATGAGAAGAGCCTGAAACGGCAGGGTATAGGAAAAAGAGTTGGAGGAAGAGAGAGCCTCCAGTGTTTGCAGTCACAAAGCTGCTTTATGGAGCTATGAACAAAAGCTCTTAAAAGCTCCTCTGACGTAGAGGAATAAAGAGCAGCCTAAGGTGCCACTCATATCCCTTCTCCACCAGAATGCAGCCGGAGCAGGTGCTCGCCCGGGGGATCTGCGGACTTCTTTTAGAACGGGCCTGTGATTAAACTGACTTCAGTGGCCGACTAAGATGTAACTGGCTGTTATTACATAACCTGCTCGCATCACAGTCTTTGTTTACAGGACTTTGGGCGCACCAGAGTTTACGCTGCGTCAGAGAGCTGTGAATGCATTAGTTTCTACTGAGACGGTTTGTCGCAAAGACGTAATGCGTTTGCGGAAGAGGTGTTGCATTTTGCAAAAAAAAGTCTGGGATAGTTTAACAATGAGAGAATATTTAAGACCGTCAGATTTACTGTACTCTGATTTGTGATTTCTAATATTTTGGCTTAGATGTAAATGTAATATTATAAATAAAGTTTTTATGTATTATGTGTATTTTATAAGTATTTTAGTTTAAGTACTATTCAAAAGTTAGGAATTGGTAAGGTTTGTATTTTTATTTTTATTTTTTTCAGTCTCTTATGCTCACCAAGGCTGCATTTATTTGATTAAAAGTATGGTAAAACAGTAATATTGTGAAAAAATGATTACAATAAAAAAAATTTATTTGATGTTGTAATATATTTTAAAATAATTTATTCCTGTGATGGCAAAACTGAATTTTCAGAAATCATATTGATATGGCGATTTACGGCTTAAGAATTTTTCTTTTTTTTGCATTCTTTGATTGATTAAAAAATTCAAAAGAACAACATTTATTTAAGATAGAAATCTTTTATGAATGTCTTTTCTGTCAGTTTTGATCAGTTTCATGAGTCTTTGCTGAATAAAAGCATTAATTTCCTTTAAAAAAAACAAACTATGTAACAATATTGTATTATTTTATTAAAATAGAATTCATAACAATCAACTCAATTTACATGAGATATTTGCAAATAACAGGTGCTCGCCCGGGGGATCTGCGGACTTCTTTTAGAACGGGCCTGTGATTAAACTGACTTCAGTGGCCGACTAAGATGTAACTGGCTGTTATTACATAACCTGCTCGCATCACAGTCTTTGTTTACAGGACTTTGGGCGCACCAGAGTTTACGCTGCGTCAGAGAGCTGTGAATGCATTAGTTTCTACTGAGACGGTTTGTCGCAAAGACGTAATGCGTTTGCGGAAGAGGTGTTGCATTTTGCAAAAAAAAGTCTGGGATAGTTTAACAATGAGAGAATATTTAAGACGGATTTACTGTACTCTGATTTGTGATTTCTAATATTTTGGCTTAGATGTAAATGTAATATTATAAATAAAGTTTTTATGTATTATGTGTATTTTATAAGTATTTTAGTTTAAGTACTATTCAAAAGTTAGGAATTGGTAAGGTTTGTATTTTTATTTTTATTTTTTTCAGTCTCTTATGCTCACCAAGGCTGCATTTATTTGATTAAAAGTATGGTAAAACAGTAATATTGTGAAAAAATGATTACAATAAAAAAAATTTATTTGATGTTGTAATATATTTTAAAATAATTTATTCCTGTGATGGCAAAACTGAATTTTCAGAAATCATATTGATATGGCGATTTACGGCTTAAGAATTTTTCTTTTTTTTGCATTCTTTGATTGATTAAAAAATTCAAAAGAACAACATTTATTTAAGATAGAAATCTTTTATGAATGTCTTTTCTGTCCGTTTTGATCAGTTTCATGAGTCTTTGCTGAATGAAAGCATTAATTTCCTTTAAAAAACAAACTATGTAACAATATTGTATTATTTTATTAAAATAGAATTCATAACAATCAACTCAATTTACATGAGATATTTGCAAATAATTGTCTTTCAGATGGACATGGAAAATAATGTGGCTGGAAAAGTAGGAGCATCTCTTCTTTCATTCTCCTCCATTCTTTATCCTTATTTTATGGATCTGGAACAAGTTAACCCCTTTTAACCTTGCCAGTGGATATTCACATATCTGTAACCAGTGCCGTTGTTCCGGTTCCCTCTTCTTGTGGCATTTAAACAGTTGCTCTCCCAGGAAAATGTAAAGGTTTTTAATATTATTTGCTCTTAAGTTAGAGTCAAGTCTCCGCAGTCACTTGACTCTGGCATTTTTAGTTTGCTGGTTCTAATGTAAATGTCCTTCAAATGACAGTAGAGCCTGATGGCATTTCCTAGCACTCACATGAACAGAGCCGAGAAATGTCATCTTTTATTTTTGGCCTTTTATTCGCAAGAAATGCCACCCTCGGATGTCTCTTATGAGGATTTTGCTGCTAAACAACCCACCTCTGAAATTAGGTCCAAACGTGTACGGTTTATATTTGATATTTTTTGAGCAAACACACTCACGCAGGCTTAAACACACAGAATTAACATTTTTATCTTGGTTTAGAGGTGAAAAAGCAGGCATCCATTAATAGTTCACCCAAAAATGGAAATTCTGTCATCATGTTTAAATCCATATGACTGTTTTTTTTCTGCTGAACACCAACAAAGATATTTTTTAGAATGCATTTAAAAGATTCTTTTGTCCAAAGTGACTAACTTGGCATTCACATTTAATCAGTTCATTTTTATTGGTTTTATACTTTTGTCATTTGTAAAGGTCAAAGATAAGGATGTAAAAAAAGAAAGTTTGACTGATATTACAAGTAGACTTTGAGAAATTGACCCATGTATTCAACTTGATATACTGCCAGCGGAGGCTGTTTAGCTGTGCATTTTATCGCTGGCAATAAACGTAGACATCAGCTTTTATTTCCCAGCTGTCGAACAGTCTAAAAATAAACTTTTAGATTAACACATTTTGTTTAATTTCTGAATTATTTGAAGTTTAAAATAATTATGAATAATTCCTCTTTAATAATGAAGAATTACTCTTTGATGTTCATGAAAAAGTATACCCTTTTTGGAGCTTTAGTCAGTCCCAGATCACGATATGCTTTTAGAACAGCTTGAACATTCTGCAAAATATCTGCTTTTGTGTTCAGCTGAAGAAAGTAAGTCATACAAGTTTGGTACAACATTAGGATGAGTGAATGTTGACAGGGCTGTGCAACCAAAGGGTGAAAATATGGTATATTTTAAAGACTACATCGCTGCAGACACAGTTTTCAAAAATGCCGAATGCTTTGGAGACTGAATCTCATCTTATGCAGTCTGTGCACACTTTCCACCTAGGTGTCACCGACTCCCTTGTGAATGGAGCAATCTGTGACTACACTATGCTTGAATAACACTAAATAACACAAGATTTCCTCTGATATGATGTAATATGTCCTTGTTCTACACCATTTGACTAATAAGTACATCTCTCTGTGTGGTGTTTCCAGACCATTTTCACAGGAATTATGTTAAAGCATGTGCTTTTTCATCTTTTAAAGCCTTGCGAATAGCCAAAATCACCCCCCTTATTTTGGCTATATTTCCATATAATCCATCCAGATTCTCAGTTCCAGATTCAGAATCCAAGTTTCCAAATCTCATCTATGGGAGTTCTATTTACAGTTTCAAATGGAGTGCACTTGTTTTAAAAGGAAATGCTGGGAATCCAATTTTAATTTTGCTCAATCTGAGGCTGTGTTTAGACAGACACAAAGTTTGCAGTGAAGGGGATTGTGGGTGTAGGATATTCTCACTGTCTCTAATTGTGTTTGTTTTACTGGAAGGTACCACCCGGCTGCCCAGAGATGGGGAGGTTCCAGGAGTAGACTATAATTTCATCAGCGTGGGGGATTTTCGCATCCTGGAAGAGAGTGGATTACTGCTGGAGAGCGGAACATATGATGGTATGAAACACTGATATTCTTTATACAAACAGAAATGAATGATCTCTCAAATCATGTGACTTGTTGAGAAGAGGTGTGCTGTTTCTTTTTATGGTTTTCACCTGGCAGGTGAAATTCACATCGAATGCAATGAAGCTTTTCGTTTAGAGACCATGAAATCTAAGTTTAACTGAAAATTTAAACTCCACTCTTATGCTGCCTGTCAAACACTGCCATTTCTGGAAATGCACCTCTAGTGTTAAGATCCGATAGTCATGTTGTTTACTTGACTGAAGTGAACTCTGTCACCAGCACCTCGAGGCATTTATCTTGTCCAAAAAGAATTCCATGACAGTGCAGCCTAAAAAATGAACTATGGATTTAGCCTCCAAATCTTACAGGCAGTGAGTCAGTTAGCACAGGTTTACACCATGCAAACATGCTTTGCAGAGCTTGAGGTAAACTGCTGAAAAAGGACACATAGGGAAGACAAAAAGGGCAGTCTTTCTGCAAATAGAGTACAAAATATTTTTTTCCCCCAACAAACGTTCTATGAAAGGAGCTAAAAAGCAATACCTAGCTCCTTTTCATGCTAAGCTAATTAGACAATAGTTTATCTTGTGTCTAATCTGTGTCTCTCAGAAAAAGGTACAAAAGTTGTACTGTTTACTGTAGGTACTTATATGTACACTTGAGGTTCAAATATGTACCTTTAAGGTTCTAAAATGCATCTTTTAGGGGTAAATAAGGTACAAAGGTGTGTAGTTATTTTTTTTTACTGACCATTTGTTCATTTTTTATAATATGTAAATTGGTCATGATGTGTAAATATGTGTAAACATGATATGTAAACAAATTATGTACAAAATGTGTGTACGCGCACGCACACATGTGCGCATGCACTGACTTTTAAAGTTTAAAAAAAAAATTCTTTTATTTAGCAAGGAGGCATTAAATTGATCAAAAGTGACAGTAAAGACATTTAGAATGATTTCTATTTCAAATAAATGCTGTTCTTTTGAACTTTCTATTCATCAACGCATCCTGGAAAAAAATTGATCACTCTTTCCACTTAAATATTAAGCAGCCCAACTGTTTTCAGCATTGCTAATAATAATAATAATAATAAATGTTTCATGAGCAGCAAATCAGCATGATTTCTGAAGAATCATCTGACACTGAAGACGGGAGTAATGAGGCTGGAAATTCAGCTTTGCATCACAGGAATAAATTATTTTTTAGAATACATTTAAATAGATGTAATGATGCTGGAAATTCAGCTTTGCATCACAGGAATAAATTATTTTTTAGAATACATTTAAATAGAATGCAGTTATTTTAAATTGTAATAATATTTCACAATATTGCTCTTTTTACTGTGTTTTTGATCAAATAAATGCAGCCTTGGTGAGCACAAGAGACTCTTTCGAATGCTATATATCATTTATTTTCAGAGCACTTTCTTTTTTCTTCATTAATGAAGCACAAAAAAGCTTTGTGTGTTTATCCTCCCCTCTGCAGTCTGGTGGGTTTGGATGTCTCTGTCCTGAGAGACAGATAGCGTGCCAGGCGAGTGCATTCACTGTGGCCCCATGCCGACAGTGGGACCAGAGTCATGCCAGGCAAAGCCTGCTGGGACAGGGAGCCATGCCAGTAGAAAATGCCCATATGTGCTCTGCTCTCAAAGAGGGAGACGTTCTGATCCTAGGACACACACGCATGCATGCTAACACACAGACATACACTAATCCCGGCAGACTGTTCCTTAAAGGAATAGTTCACCATCAGGAAGTCACAATCCGGTTTTACAAAATATTTACTGCAATGATACGGCATTTTATCCTTGAGACAGCATTATATAGATTTACAACATTTAATGTCTCTCTGTGGTCATGCTTGAGCAATAGCAAACAGATGCTAGGCATTTCTGATTCCCTCATTCCAGTAGTGTGGATAAATGTACAACCCTCAAGGCAGCTTTTAATGTAATCCTGTCTAAGCAAGCTTGGTTGAATTAAGAGTTGATCCTGATCAATAAAGATTTAGCGCTCGTTGAAAGCACACAGACATAAATAATCTCAATGGGGGCGATCTGTAAACATGAATAGACTGTGGCACAATACACTGTACTTACTGCCTGTTGAGTCACATATCAACATCATTTTTAGTCCAATGAATGGATAGATGTCCTGTGCTCACTTGGAATAATTCTCACTGAATGACAGGTTAAAGAAAGATGATCTTTGATTCTGTAAATACATAAAGTATGTATATGTTGGATAATGAGAATTCTATTTTTAGAGCTGTTAAGTTGTTTGAATTGTTACATCATTTATACATGGGGGAAAAATCTAGACACATTTAAAATAATAATAATAATGATAAAATAGCTAATTAAAATCAAAAATAAACATTTTATATAATGCATTCAATGACTTCACTAGTAAAAAAAAAGTAATATATTTAAAATACATTTATTTCATATTAAGTATAGTTCAAATCTATTAACATATTTACTGTCACGTCGCTTAAGTCTTACTGATACAAAAATTATAATTAAACTTTATTTTGAGTGCCACTTGTGCACAATGCACATTTCTTAATATTAAGCCTATAATGTTTTTTTTAATGTCACTTGTTGATGAGGATTGTATGATCTTTGAATAATATGTCTTTAAATGCAAGATATTTAAAGTGTGCCTGAAGTATACTTGCAATAGGTCCACCTTAGCACAATCAAATATACTTGAGTATATCTTTAGTTGGACTTCAGCACTACTTCCACACAAAGTGCACGAAGTACAAAATTCGTTGTTCCAATTTAGCAGATTTTAAGTATACCAGTTTAGTATACTAAAAGTACAATTGCAAGGTGTTTTACAGTATTAAGTACATAAATATGTAAATATATTTGTAGTATACTTAGTATGAAATAAATGTTTTTCAGATACATTTTAGTATATTTATGTTTCATTAGTGTTATGGAGGGAAATATGACATTTCTTGGCCATTTTCAGAAATTCCCGCAAATACACATTTTTTATAATGAATTTTCTGAATAGTGGATGCCATTTTGGACCTCTTATGTTGTGTAAAGCCCATAAATCTCTGCAATCTCTCCACATTCAATAATTTGATCTATTTTAATGTTATAGCTGCGCTTTATGTGCACCAAAATATTTTTGACAACGTTAAGAGAACGCTGGGTCAACGTTTCCCTCGTGGTGGGATTATACGGCTCTCAGCAGATTACTGGCGACAGATGACGCTGTAAATGTGCTCTGATTCTGAGTGTAGAGCATACCTTCTGATTCATGGTTAGCTGTGTGCGTATGTGGTGATTAATCAGGGTTACAGCGTCATGCAACGGCTCTAATTAGCCAAGCATTTACCTAGCATTTATTACAAACCATGTTGTATATAATAAAGTGTGTGTTTATCTGTGATTGAAGAAGTCTTCATCTCATTGCTGGTGAAGAGAAGTTGTTCAGTACACTACAGTTGTACAGTAAGTCTGACATCCAACATTACAGTATGTTGCAACTCTTCTAGTATGGAAAGTCTCTTATGCTCACCAAGGCTGCATTTATTTGATCAAAAATACAGTAAAACAGTAATATTGTGAAATACGATAACACTTAAAACAAAACATCTCTATTTAAATAGCCTACATTTGAAAATGTAATTAAATCCTGTGATGTCAAAGCTGAATTTTCAGCATCATTACTCCAGTGTCACATGATCATTCAGAAATCATTCTAATATGCAGACTTGCTGCACAAGAAACATTTCTTGTTTTCATCAGTGTGGGAAAACAGTTGTGCTGCTTCGTAGGTTTATTTGCCTCTTTATGTCACATCAACAAGGTCAAAATGTGGTTAAGTTGGTTTAAATGTTCAAGCATCTCTTCCCATCTAATTGTGCAGCTCTTCGCCAGAATAAGCTGCAAACTGGACTGGAATTTATGCCGATGTTCAAATGTCTTTCTCAGTGAGACTATAGTTTTGGAAACATGATGTTTTTGCATGATGACGCACAAAATGTGTAACAAATGTTATGGTAGCAGCACAGAAAGTTTCCTTACACTGGATAGCAGGAGATCTCATTTGTATAATGAAGAGAGACAGAGAGGGATAGAGTGAATATTCATCACTGCGTATTCATGAGAGGTGAGCGAAGTTGTCAACAGTAGTTAATTGCTTGTGAAAAAGCCTATTCCCACACGGTTTCAGTTTCTATTTGCTAATTAAACTCTTTAGAATTTACAGTCTAAAAAGGAAAGAATTAATCTTTCGACTGATTACAAGGATTATATTTTACATTGGCAAAAGATGAATATGTGACTTTAAAAAGCTGTTTTTTTTTCATAGACAGATGTTAATGATGTCTAGGGGCCGCATATTTATTTTCAGGATGAAGGGAGCGAACAAACAAAACAACAAATTTGGATAATTTAAAGTAATCTGTGTATAATTGGTGAAGGTTGAACAGTTGATTTGAAAGAAATGTCTTTCCATTGGTTGAATCTAATCATACTGAAAGTGATTTCTTTAGTCTTACATCAAGGGGAAATAATGAAGCATAACCCTTCAACCCATACGAACACACATACACACACATTGACATGTACCACCAAATTAGAAATTCATTTGAATACATTATGCTGCTCCACTGATTGGCTGTACCATTGTTTCTGATGCATATTAATTAACTGATTTTTGCATGAGAAGATAGTGGGAAAAGTTTCATTACTGAATCCAGTGGTGAGTGTAATTACTTTCAAGGCACCACCGAATGGAAAGAGTATAACATTTCACACTGCATATTGGATAGTCGACACTTTTTGAGATAGCGGGGACTAAGGAAGTAAGCGAAGGTAGAGATAAAGAGATAAATTTGCAGGCAGCTCCTGTCTCAGTGTTCCAGAATCAGCTGTTTCATCAAACTGTAGAGGTTTGTGGATTGTTAAATCAAAGCTAATGTAGTAAAAACGTTGAATCACACCTCTAAAGTTTCAAAGTATCTACTTTTATGACTTATTCAAAGGTATCACGAATCAAAATAGTTTTTTTTGTCTTCAAACAAGGCACTCTTCATTTCTCTCAGGTAACTTCTATGGCACTCCCAAACCTCCTGCGGAGCCCAACGTGGTTCAGCCTGACCTGGTCGACCAGGTTTTGTTTGAGGAGGATTATGGCACCGAAGTCCAACGAAAGCGAACAACCTCCGTCAGCAAGATGGACCGCAAGGACAGTGTGGTCCCTGAGGAAGAAGAGGATGAGGAACGGCCACAGCTCCCAAACGGCATCCCAGGTCAAGACAGACTTTAATCTGTGTGTTTTTGTTAACCAAAATGTGAACAATTGCAGTCTAAAAATTCCCACCCATGTTGAGACAGACTGTGCTTCATTACTCTTTTTTTTTTCCAAACTTGGAATATATATCTTGGGACTTTGACCCGGTGTTATTTTAGTATTATTTATATACTATTATAGTATTTATTCATATATTGAGTTAGCTTTATTTTTATTATTTTACGCTTTCATTTTAATTTCACTTTAAGTTTTAGGAATTTTCCTGTTATTTATTAGTTTTTTTCATTTTCCTATTTAGCTTTAATTTATTTTTTATTTCAGTTTTAGTTTTAGTCATTTTAGTACTTCAACTTAAATGTATTTACAGGTATTCCAGATAGCTGCCAAATCAACATTTTTCATTTTTGTTTATTTTTAAGTTTAAGCTTTTCATCTAATATTTATATTTAAATAATTTATTAAAAATGGTAATTTACTTCAGCTGCTGTGCTCCTGTCAGTTCTTTATTAGTAGTCATACTTCAGAGCTGTGACCCAAAATTTTTGCAACTGTCAGAACTTCATTGGATGTTAAGATCCATCGCAAAGTCAATTAATTGGCCGTTGGGGAGCATGTCAAATGAAGCGATCAAAGGCTGCCGATTTTGCCCCACAAGAAAGAAGTCTTTAATATTCCTGAAATTTGTCTCAGACAGCAAATCTTTGCCAAAATCGCTGTGTGCTTGAGGCTTTAATCTGCAGTATGCTTCACTCATGTGCAAGTGATCAGTCTGAGGCCTTACATGATCTCTCAGAGAAGAACCCCGTCCTCTACTCAAGGAGAAATCAGCACCGAGAGGCAAGCTTTGCTTAAAAAAGAGCCAAACCCCCTGCTCACATGCTCCCATTAGTTCACAGTATAACCTTATAATCCTTTTGAGATCAGCAGTTGTGCTTTCAAGGCTCGAGGCCTGAAATTTATGCTCTATTTGTATACTGCAGTACTTCAGAGTAGCGTTTGGCAAGCGAGTCACATTGCTCCATAATGGCTTGCTTAATGCGTGGAGGATTCATGTCCGTGACCCTGGTGTCGATCAGCTTTAAACATAAATGAGCTGTTTAGATGTTTACAGGGCTTTAACTTTTAACCCTTGCTTTTGACTTTAGGCAATATAAGCCTCTAGTGTCCCCAGGAGGAACCAAGCTTATATCTGCAGTATTTTTCGTCTTAAATTATGCATGTCTTATGTAATGTTCCTATATTATACTTACATTAGGTATATCTGTTTGTGTGTAGGCTGTGTGGGATATGTAGGTGTATGTAACTTGATAAAGAAATATAAACTGATTTAAACTTTCAGTTTCACGAACAGAAAGTACCATGGTAATTTTGGGGTGTTCAAATGTGTGTGTGAGAGATTAAAGTTAAATATAGTGTACATATACATACAATGCAATGCATTAGTACCACACAAAATATGATGCATATATATATATACACTGAACAAAATTATAAACGCAACACTTTTGTTTTTGTTCCCATTTTTAATGAGCTGAACTCAAAGATCTAAGACTTTTTCTATGTACACAAAAGGCCTATTTCTCTCAAATATTGTTCACAAATCTGTCTAAATCTGTGTTAGTGAGCACTTCTCCTTTGCCGAGATAATCCATCCACCTCACAGGTGTGGCATATCAAGATGCTGATTAGACAGCATTATTATTGCACAGGTGTGCCTTAGGCTCACATTTTAGAGTGGCCTTTTATTGTGGGCAGCTTAAGGCACACCTGTGCAATAATCATGTTGTCTAATCAGCATCTTGATATGCCTCACCTGTGAGGTGGATGGATTATCTTGGCAAAGGAGAAGTGCTCACTAACACAGATTTAGACATGTGTGTGAACAATATTTGAGAGAAATAGGCCTTTTGTGTACATAGAAAAAGTCTTAGATCTTTGAGTTCAGCTCATGAAAAATGGGGGCAAAAACAAAAGTGTTGCGTTTATAATTTTGTTCAGTGTATATATATATATATATATGTACTATTGTATATGTACTATTGTATTTCCCTTTAATACCATGGGACCGCTACAGTACCCTTGTTTAATCTTTCTGCTTGCCTTCTTATAATCTCCTTGTACTCATCTTGGAAGTAAACGCTTTAAAACAACTCTTGACACAGTTGTTGTTTTCTGCGATGTATTGGTATATTAATTAAAAGCTGTTGTGTTTGTATAGTCATGTTTGACTACTGGGACTGATGAGGTCTTCCCTCCCTGCCTTGGCAAAAGCCAGTGGACAGGGAATAGTTGTTGAATATTCGCTGAAGTAAGTAATCCCTTGGCTCATGTTAAAAGAGACGTTTAATGGGGAGTGTCCTTGCCGCAGAATAGTGTCATATTTGCTTTAAAGGCTTCTGCCACTTCAAGTGTGTTTAAAGAGAGGGAAAATGGCAGCGAATTAGTTATCATGCATGCACGGGCATTTGTTCCTGTGCTGCAGTGCTGTGGAAATAAAGTACAATGCTGTAGCCTTTTTTTATATTTATATTACTGCATTAAATTATGTACATTTACTCAAAATATTCAGATGATGTGTAGGTCCACGCAGAATCCATCAGATTAGAACTTGCAATTTTATAAATTAGTGATGTTTGATAAGACACCTCAGAATCCTGTTGCATGCTATAATAGCCAAGTCAAAATGTACTTGTATAGGGCTTTTCACAATACACATTGTTTCAAAGCAGCTTTACAGAAAAGCTTGATGTTAATGTTTATAATATGTCCCCAGCTAGGTAACTTCCAACGTGACCGGCACTAAGTTTATGTAGTTGGTTATGTTGACGGAAGTTAGCCTATTTTCAGGCACTGTGGATTATTACGCTGGAATGAGAGTATAGTTCCTAGCCATATCGGCCTAGAAAATCGCAACTTTTCATTTTCCGTCGGTCTTAGTACACGATGTAACTACAGAAGAGTCAAGTTTTAAATAGGAAAAATATCGAAACTCTTTGGTCATTTTTGAGCGAGATGTTAACGGTCTAATCAGATTCAATGATCTATGCTAAGCTACAGCTAAAAGTGCTACCGCCAGACCCGGAGATCGGCTGAATGGATTCGAAAACGGTAAAACTCAACTGTTTAACTCTAGAGGAGTTGGAAAATTAGCCTATTTTCAAAAATAGTGGCGTGTTCCTTTAATATCTTCATGCCTTAGTCGCATTTAGCAGATTAGAGCTGGGCAATAATATAATTTACATTTTGTAACAAGCGATCAGGCATTTGAGATTTGTTATATAGTATATATCACCCAGGCAAATATACTGTATGTGTGTAGATTAAATTGGACATACTTATATATTCAACTTTATATAAAAAGCTAGGAGAATATATAGTTAGTTTCTGAGACTAAATAAATCTGGCAGTTGTGATTTGCTATATAATATGTTTTGCTTTATGTGAGTATTCTGTATTATTGTGGATAAAGCGGGATATAATATATATGTCCAATTTTATATATAGTGATGTGCAATGATAAATTTTACATTTTGCGACAATATAAATAATTAAGCACCTGGGATTATATATCCTTTTTATATACCTTACAAGAGTATATTGTATGTGTTAGGATAAAGTTGGAAATACTTATATATATCCAACTTTATGTAAAGAGCCAGGCGATAATATTTACGTTTTGCGCCAAAATAAAAAAAAATCAGGCTGTTGAGATTTGTTATAGTATGTTGCATTTATGCGGTTAAAGATTTATATAATACATATCGACCTTTATGTATAGAGCTGTGTGATAATACGTTTACATTTTGTGATGATATAAATTATTACATTGCCGCAATTTGCCATATAGACCTAGTATATATTGCTTTACATAAGTAGATAGGATGTACTGTATATCCAATGTTTGATATATCGCTGGCCGAATAAAATAGTTTTCCAACAATTTTTGACAATATAACAATCAAACTGAGATTTGCTATATAGTAGTAGCAAGAGGTTCACGTTTATATATTATACAGTGTATGCTATAGAGTATTATGATGCAAAAGTAAAAAAAATTACAAGATATTTATGTAGCATTAATTTGTGATAATAATAATTATATAAATTCTTTTTCTGTAATTAACCTGAAACAGGAAAAGATCTTGCTTGCACACCATCCTACTTTGACATGCAAATCATTCTCCTGCGTTAGTTTTGCATTGTTTTATCTTCTTTCCTTCTGCAGAGAGGACAGAGGAGTGGAGGAAAGCTGTGCCCAGCTACACTCAGTCCAGTGGTGGAGGCAGTGCAGGTGGCAGTGGGACTCTGGAAGTCCGCACCTGGAGCTCTTTAGCCAGAGACGAAAGCCTGGAGCCCCTGCCGTACAACTGGGAAATGGCCTACACGGAGACAGGCATGGTCTACTTCATAGAGTAAGTGTGTGTGGCCGTCAGAGGAGAGATTTAGACTTCACTTAACTGCATGAGGGCTGCTACTGTACTCATAAATTTCGGGTCACCTTCTAGTCTACGGCCCATTCATAGCATTGGGAATATGGATGTATTAGCAGATAAAAGTGCATTTCATATAAAAAAAAAAAGTGCAGTTACTTTAAAAATATCACTGTAATTTCAGTTATTTATTCAGTTATTCAGTTATGTAATTTTCAGTTACATGTGCATATTCAAAACTTGTTGCATCACTTTCAGTTACAAGATAGGCTACTATTTGTGTTTAATCATGTACATGGACATATTTTATCATGAGATTACAGAGCTATGGTAGAGGTTAATAATTTTGATAAAAATAGTGTAAATTACAAATATATTTTATATTATTTATAAAATCTATTTGTAAATTCTGTAAATAATGCTTAACATTCATATTATCCATTACAGACGTTTTTTGTGGTTACTTTGAACCCATGGCTTTATACAGTACCTTTGGAACCGCATGTGTCTTGATGATTTGTTGTTGTTGTTGTTGTCGTCACATTACTTAACACCATCTGATTTGACACACTGTATATCACAGAATATTGTTTTTGTGTTTATTATTGTTTCATACCACTGAATGTCATGTGGGATTTGATGCACTACTCACAATACCACAGGATATTGTTTTGTTTGTTTTTGTGTTTTGTTTTGCATTTATTATGCCATTGTAGTATTCCTGTGGAGTGTTTTCATTTTTTTATTGCTGGAGGTTCTTAAAGTAATATTTTGACGCAGTTGTTATATGCAAAGACATTACAGTATATGCAAATTGTCTATTTATACAACGTTTTTATTTACTGGCTTTAAATTTGTTCTCCAATATTTCCTTTTATAGGCAGCAATATTTGTTAGCAGGCTGCACACTTTCCCCTCCATAGAGCTGCTGTCTGATTCTATTCAGGTCAAATCTCAAACTCCATCAACATAGTATTCCAATTTCTATTTTCACAAACGGCATGCTTTATCACTTTCTCTCCCCATCTTGCTGATATCTGATGTTTTTCTCACTCTGAAAAAGTAGTGTTGCTTTTAAAAGTCAAGAGCAGAGCTGTCAGAACGAAAGAATAAATATAGCTCGCAGTGTGGTCTAGATGCTCTTTAAAGAACAGAGTCAAAGTTCTGTTTGTGTGTGTGTGTGTGCATTTGGGGTCACAATCATAAATATTTTAGTAGTTCCAAAAATTTTCCAGTTCAGTTTATAAGACTCATAACTACAGGCCATTGAAAACCTCACCCTCTTTGACCAGCCAAGGCTTTATAATAACTTTGCATTAGTCTAAATCAGCGGGTCTCAAACTGAGGTCAGTGCAATGTCAAAAATAGACCTAAATAATAATAAATAAATAAAAATTTGACAAAAAGTAATAACAATGAATTAATCAACTAATGAATCAATTCATAATAATGAATGAACATGTTCAGTCCAACTGCTTGCGATCAATCAGTTCATTAAAGTTCATTAGATGAAAGTAGCGGTCTAGTTTATTTTAATGAAAGAAGAACAAAACAGTCTATCAAAATGCTGGTTTGTAGCTCAAAATCGCTTGTGAAATACTGGTCTAAATACAGATCTAATATCTAATGCATTTTCTTTTTTGTTTTATAGCCACAACACAAAATCGACTACGTGGTTGGACCCTCGTCTGGTCAAAAAAGCCAAGCCCCCTGAAAAGTGTGAGGATGGAGGTGAATCTTTGCATTACGCATTTATATAAGAAGCCATAAACATGTATGGCAGCTACATGCATATGCAAATAGAAGTTCAGTTGCATTCAATCAGATGTGTGTACCCTTCCACATTCACATGCCGCAGAGGGCATGATTGCATAACCTCATCTGAATGCATTCACTTCCTCTTGCCTTTTCACTCTTAATATACACACGAGCACACATGATGTCTAACAAAATGTAGCTGCTGTTTTTAAGAAAGTCCTGTGCTATATGCTCACTGGTGCACAATACTTTTCTGTTTGTACGTGTGTGTGTGTGTGTGTGTGTGTGTGTGTGTGCGTGCGTGCGTGTATGTGTGTGTGTGTGAAGCTCTCTGTTGCGTGAACAGTTCTTTTTTTTCTCCTCAATAGTTCATTTGGGCATAATATATGTACAGCAGAGGGGATACACACATGCACACACAGGAGCTTACACTGCCTGTTTATTTGACTATTTTGTAAACATGACATCTTTTGCACTCTCATATAAAAAAAATATGTATTTTGTTTTTTATATTAATACAGAGCAACATAATGTGAATGATAAACCAGAAAAAATATTTTATTTTGTTTTATTTTACAAAATAAATGTATTGAAATTTTATGACACATTATTACACTAGCTTGTTTTGCTTGTTAGGGTAGCATTATAAAATATATATTGTATTAAATTTGTAAAGTACATCTTAAATATTCTATCCATTAAAACATACATTTTTAAGAACATATATGATATATTTAAAGCAAAATTAAGTAAGTATTCTATTTGGTCAAAATAATGTAATAAAAAGATATGTTTTATTAAACGTTATTATAATGTCATGCTGCAGAAAACATAAAAATGTAATAATTTTATTATAATTTAAAGGGGTCATATGATGCGATTTCAAGTTTTCCTTTCTCTTTGGAGTGTTACAAGCTCTTGGTGCGTAAAGAAGATCTGTAAAGTTGCAAAGACTAAAGTCTCAAATCCAAAGAGATATTCTTTATAAAAGTTAAGAGTCAACCACGCCTACCTAAAATGCCTTGTTCTAACACGCCCCCACATATCTACATCACTATGTGGAAATATTGGAAAATAATGTGTTTTTTTAACCTTAAACCGCATAAAAACATTTCATTACACCAAATAAACAAAATAATGTTCTTTTTAGCAGCATCATATGACCCCTTTAACCGTGGCTTGTGTACTGCAAACACATACCAGCTTCCTCACTGTGTCTGTCACGCGACTCTGTTGCCCTTTCAGACTTGAACTGGTGGTAAAACTAAGGACATTATTAACTTTCTTGATATTTACTTTGAAAGCTGAAGCTCGCGATTATGGTAAGGGGTGTTACATTTCCGATGCGGGCTTGTGGTGTTCGGCCAGTCACAATGCACTGGGTCAGCTGGCCAATCAGAGCAGACTGTGCTTGTCAAAGGAGGGGGCTTTGTTGAAAACGACGTGTTTGAGAGAGGCGGGGCATAGAGGACCTACAATAATGTACAGTATTTGAAAAAGAATGTGTTTTTTGAACATTAAAGCATGTCAACATATTCTGTTACACCAAATATACAAAATAATGATCTTTAAAATAGCATCATATGACCCCTTTAAATGATTTCCTTTCCAAAATGTTGAAAAGTGGTCATTTGTTTATTCATTTTTATGATTATTTATATAATTTTTTTCTAAAGTCCATGTATAATGTTTCATATTTTTTACAGCAAAAACCCAATATTTTTGCACCGAGAGGCTGTCATAATTTAATTTACAATAATTTTGACATTTCCTTAGATTAACCAGGCTGCTAAAGTACCTTTGATATTTCTTTATGTAAATAGCTTTGTCATGATTGACTAACCTTTGAAAGGTTAAAGTGTATTACATGTAAAAAATCAAGGAAATTGATGGTTCTTTGTGATGACCTCTTTAAAATGTTGCCTGCTGTTGTTAATGTTGTTGCAGCCATATGCGTGTGTGTGTGGATTTGCATTTAAACACATTGCTCTCGTTCCTTCATCATCAGAACTTCCATATGGTTGGGAGGAGATTGATGACCCACAGTACGGCACATACTACGTTGAGTAAGTCCTATGATAGGATTAGATTTGTTTTCTTTATGCTTTTTAAAGTATAGGCTAGCGATATACTTAAAAACTTTCTTTTGTCATCCTCAGTCACATAAACCAGAGAACCCAGTTTGAAAATCCGGTTCTAGAGGCCAAGAGGAAACTCGGTTTGGACACTGCAGTCGCAACTCAGACCCAACAGAGGGCAGCACCTCCTCCAGGTACAAACAAGCACCTCCCTAACTGTGAATTTAAACTGAAGTTATGAGTGTTTAAAGGAAACAGCAAAGACACTCAGCATGTTAGAGTTTCCCGCCTGCAAACACACGGGCTCCTCGCTGGGTGAATGATTGTGTGTGGGGGAAAGAGGGACAGAAAGATAAGATTAAAGAACGGTGAGTCATCTGCCATTCTCAATATGATGAATTAAAGATTCTTCCATTACACTGGATGCATTATAGATGTGTTTGAGCATGTGCATATATGAGAGAGAGTGAAAAACCCGGGGAAGAGAAGAGTGCTGTTTTAGGGTGGATGGATGGGAGTATAAATGTTATAGAGATTGCTTTGCAGCACATCACAAGCTGCATTAACATTAAAGAGAACATTAGCATCCATCATGCATTCACATTGCCTCTCTTTGATCAGTCCATCTCTAAAACATGGCTTTACTTCTACACATTCGTTCCGAATTTCTGGAAACAACGACTGCTGTCCATTCAGGCCAGAAAATCCATATCTACTGAAGTGAACAGTGGCTATCGATGCAGAGATGACAGGAACAGGGGGAAAATAGATGACACGTGAGTCTGAGGGCTTTGATTGGACGGAGACCGGCATAACAGACCCTCTATTCGGGCATTAAGAGTTGAAGGAAGGACAAGGGGAAAAAGCACATTTTCTTTTGCTTTGCTGAAACGCTCAGTTACCATGGCAGTGGTGAGACTGCAGCAAGTTTCATTGCTTTAGATATCAAAATCACAAATCGAGTGGCATGTACTTTCTTCTACACTGGAAGCTCCTGTCGTCAAGTCAAATTCCTTGTGTGTGTAAACATACTTGGTAATAAAGCTCTTCTGATTCTGATTCTGATTCTGATCTACAGACACACAATGCTAGAGCTTTCTCAAACACTGGTTCACCAACATGATTTTAGCAGAGTGGAAGAACTCAGTTGGCCCTGATGTTCACACAGGTGTCCTAGCAGAGTAACCACAGGTGTGACTATGGACATGTGCCACTGACATTTGACTACCACAAAATGTCCAAAAAGTGTTGTTTTAGTTTCAAATAGCATATTTATTATCTCATCTTTAAAAACCTTAAGAACCATTTTCTAAATATTAACATAATTTAATAAATTACACTACTGTTCAAAAAGTTTGGGGTCAGTAAGATTAAAAAGAAAGAAATATATTTCAATCATGACAACTCTCTGAATATTTTAGCATGGTGATGGATATGACAATGTTAATGTATTTGGTCTTGGCGGAACAGATCTGCTACGCTGCTACTGAATTGCTGCTGCTGTTGGTTATTGCTGTAGTTGCTGCTGCTGCAAACAAGTACAGAAACTTGCTACTGCCAATGCATATGGCGATACGGTGCCGTGAGTGTTTAAGACATACTGCTGCTGCACAAATAGCATATAAAATAACCTGTAGCAGATCTATACAGGTGGAGCTGGGGAAGGTGGAGGGTTTCAGAGAAACTCTGAAAGTGCGCTACAGGATTCTCAAATGAATGCTAGCCAGCCATATAAATGCAAGGCAGTAAGCTCATTGGCTGCATATGCAGCATGAACCAATAAGCTTGTGCCAAGTCGTTTAACTCTCTGAATATCATCAGTTACGTTAACAACCCGTCAGCTTGCGCCATCTAGAGTTTCATGACTGAACTATATATTTATTAATCAAGGACACATTAAATTGATAAACTTTCTATTTATCAAAAAATCCTAAAAGATGTATGTGTAAAAGTTTTCCACAAAAATGTTAAGCAGCACAACTGTTTTCAACATTGATGATGATGATAATGGTAATAATAATAATAATAATAATAATGTTTCTTGAGCACCAAATTAGCATGTTACAATAATTTCTGTGACATTAAAGAATGGAGTAATTAAAATTACATTTTAAAATATATTAAAAATAGAGAACCGTTATTTAAAATGGCAATAATATTTCACAATATTACTGTTTTTACTGTATTTTTGATCAAATAAATGCAGCCTTTGTAAGCATAAGAGACTTCTTTCAAAAATATTTTAAACTGTTTTTTCAAACTTTTTAAACAGTAGTTTAATGAAAATATTAATATTTATTTATTTATATTTTATGATTCATTACATTATTTTTATAATTTTAGAATATTAATAATATATTTAAATATGATATAAATGTACATGTATATTTCTTTTTATACATTTTTTGTTTATATATATTTTTACGTAATAATGATATTTATATTCTACAGTATTAATATAATGATATAATAACTGTTTTGAAGATTCCTCTTACTTTGCCATGAAACCCATTCACCATAATCATTTTCTGTCTTTTCTCTACTTTGTCCTGTCAAAATGGCAAAATCAATGTTTTGACAGGCCTTCCTCCTGTAATAGGGAGATTCACAGCTGCCATTACAGCACATGCAATCAAAGCGTTCTCTCTAACAGCACGCACACACACACACACACACACACACACACACATATATATATATATATATAT